TAGTGCATGTTCTGACGTTCTATTTACACCGATTTCAAAAAAATGCAGCAGTCTAGAGCTTGCTATTATTGCCTAGAGAACTTGTCTCTTTTTTTGGGAACAAGTGCAGCATAGATCCTTTACCTGTTGAAGGCAAACGGGTATTTCACCCACTAACTCCGTTCCATTGTGCTTTGAAGAGGATAATGTAGCCCGCTACTGCACATGCCGTTCCAGTCACTTCGGACAAGGCAGGGACCGTCCTCAGGGGTGAGTGTACAGTTTGCCTTCAACAGGTAAAGGACCTATGCTGCACTTGTTCCCAAAAAAAGAGACAAGTTCCCTCAGAAATAATAGCAAGCTCTAGACTACTGCATTTTTTTTGAAATCGGTGTAAATAGAACGTCAGAACATGCACTAATAGTAAGGTGACCGGCTGATGCTACCACGTGATTTTCGAGAAGAAAATATAAATAAAAACCGGCTCGTTTTTACAGTGCCACTATACAAAACATGAAGTTTCGTCACGGGTTTTACAAGCGGGTAGCAAATCTGCAAGCACTTTGATCACTTCAAAACACTCAGTAAGCCGACACCTTTGAGTATCGAATTTCGAATCCTCCAAGAAGCACGTTTATGACGAAAAGTGAGAACCATAGAGCAAGATGAAGCAGGGACTTTGATGAATTCACTTCTACTTTCATTCTCTCTCTCTCTCATTCAAAAAAAAAATAAAAAATACGCACCTGATCCGTAAACTGTCTCGGATTCACCAGCTCCGTGCAACCGTATGTAACACGCTGTAAATTTTTCGACTTCCCATAATCTACCAGATTTTGGTACTCAACGTAGTTGCCACCACCGATTACAAATAAAATGACGTCTTGGGGAGGAGGCTGACGAGCACGAACTGCGGTCGAGGTGCTGGAAACAGACACTGGTGACATTTGAAGAAGACTAGGGCAAAGCCAACATTCTCAGAAGTCACGATAACACTCAAAGGAAACCATATTGGTGACAAGGAAGGAATCGTCCCACTTAACTGAAATTAATTATGAAATTGCAACGAATGCAGCCTAATCTAAGGAATGAACTAATTTAAGAACCAGTAACCAAAATGGGAGGAACTGAGCGATTAAAGAAAGAAATAAAATGGGTCAGGTAAATGGCGTGAAAATGACGAAATTCTTCATAGTTAGGACACTGCGTACGTTGGGGAACACAGTGAGGGGGACGTATTTCGTCGTTGGAGGAAGAGGAGGATCGCATTTGCCTGCAAGAAAAATGTTCTCGCTTGTTGACTTCTCCGTTTTTCCTGTTGACTTCTCTGTTTTTCCTCTTTTGTTATATATCCTCCCTACCCACCACCCTCTTCTCCCGGTCAAAGGGTTCAAGGGGTTTTTTGAAGAAAGGAGAACTTATTCTAGAAAAAGGTAAGAGAAGCAGTAGAAAGCTGGAAAAATCGTAGGAGGATAGGGAATGGAGTCGTACAGAGGAGGAAATTTTTCGGGAAAAGACATCGTATTTTGCAAAAATTTTCACCAGCAGCAGGATGCGCCCTCTCTACAAGGTCGTGGCAGAAGTGTAACACTAAAGCTTCTTGTGAACACTGTTGCCACCTAGCGAAGATGGAAAAAAGGTAGGGTAGAATCTGATTCTTAAACGACTAGAACAAGTCCGTGAATATTTCAAAAAAATCCAAATGAAGAATCAGGATTCAGCAGCGCAGTCCGCTACATGCATTTCCACTCGAACCCCAGTTTAGCAACTAAGAAACCGTCCAGAGATCTACAATTTCTTTTTTAACAACACCTTCCTGTTCTCAAAGAACAGGAAAAATACACACTTAAAGTCGGACTTACTCTCTTGACATCGCGTGCATCACTTTCGGATCGAGATAGCACAATTCGTTGCTCTCATTTGTTTGGGCTGTCCCGATCATTTGATTGATTCCTACTGTAGACGATGACGGTGGTGTGACCAGGGAGTCAACCATCTGTAATTACAGTAACTATAAAAATAAATCCATGATTGCCATCAAGATGCATGGTTTCTTTGAATCCCACGTTCCAATTTTCCAATCTAATTCCAATTTTTGAGATTCGAAGCTCCATAGATCAAAAAATGGGACGAATGTGAACTGTAACTGTGAGGTATCCAACTCTTCTCAGCAAACAGGATCTTCAAAAACTCGTCTGGATGAAGGTCAGACTGACAACAGACAGTCCTACATATGAACACGCGGAAGTACTGCTTGCAGGGTACAGTACCGAAGTGGGTGGCACGGCGTTGTCAGTGTGACCCCTCAAGTTCTTCTCCCGGGTGATACCCTTTCACAATCTTACCTAACATCTTCCCAAACACTCCCCACTCCCTAACAGCATTCCCAGTTAAAAAAAATTTCCGGAAGCTCTCCATCCTTTCAAGGACAGATAATCAACACGTTCCGGACCGCGTTACACACACTGTGTGCCGTGAATTTGTCCTTATGCGACGTTTTATTGGATTAATTTTTCCCTCCTTTCATGTTCCACTGTTCTCAAAACCCATCCTCGGTTACGAAAGATACTTATCTCATAGGCGTTAAAAAATGGAGGAAACTACTGATGAATTACTGATGAAAAATTAAAATGAATCCGCAGTACGGCGGTCCGCAATGTGTTAATTAGCAAGATTCCTTCATGACTGAAGGATAACTTTAGTCGTGTGCATGACCGCCCGCCCTCACTGAAGAGATGTAGCAACGCGTGCGGACGCTTCTATGTCTCAGAAGGAAGTTGCAAGTGTGGCGCACTCCAAGAGAGACTGATTAATGCCGAATGTTCTGCCACTTATGAGTATCCCGGAGGGCTATTTCCAGATTACAGCTTGAATATTTCACAAGCTCGCCTCCACGACGATCATCGTCCATCCATCATAGAAATGCGACAACAAAACGATCAGGTAAATCCATACCCCACAAACTCTCTTTGGTAAAAGATTACTAAAGCCGCAATTGCTACTTTCACGTCACTCGGTGGGTCAATCGACGCTAATGTGAGTCCATTTGTCTAGATTACTGAGAATGCCAAGCACAGCGGCCGAAAAGGGTTCAACTCGCCGGCCACAAATCCCCACTTGCGCGCTCGACGCAAATATAGATGATGCGCACGAAGATAGGCAAAAGAATGGGACAAGAGGGGTGAACAAATGGCGGTACCAAGCCCAAGCTGACCATCCGACTATGGGCTTGTCACAAATAACACCCCTAAAAAATGGGGCTGAATAACACCCACGTCCCTTGAGACTTGTCGAATGAATTTCAAATATCAGGTGAATGTTTGACTGTAGTGAAGCACTGGTAAGCGGCAGGTTCGATGATTTCTCCTACTTCTTCCCCTTCCGATGAAGTAGTGCAGAAACCCAAACCCCTCAAACATATTATTGAGTGAACGTTTCCCTCTGGAACGTTTCCTGGCCTAGTTTGGCTTGGTGGGGGCGCTTTGCTGGTCCTTGCGATAACAGTCTACAGCTCACCAAGGTGGACGTGTAAGTTACCAGATACTAACAAAAACAATTAGCCAATGTGCAAAATACCTCTTATAATCTTGACAGCGCCCATTTCCCCAGGACACTTGACATTCAAGAAAAGGCACCATTCAACAAGCTATCCCCGCTTAGCAAGGCCTCGCTAGGCTTGCAGCTAATCTAGTACGGACGGGCAGCTCAGCTCCTGACCATTCATCGAGTGGAGGAGTGGTGAGGGACGAAATGAAGGGTTTTTTGGAACAGCAACAGGAAAGAGTTTGAGTGAAGGAATGAGTGTAAATCACTCTTTTTTGCGCTGCGAAACCAACTTTAGTGAGCTTTGAAACGAATTGACCCGTACAAGACGGCCTAAATTTTGTAGACCCTGAATATTGAGTAATTGGCCACCACTTTTCCTTTACTGGCCCACATGCCAAAATGCAGGCTGAATTTGATCAAAATTCGAAGTCGGGGCAGTTGGGCTCTTTCAACATGAATAGTTATCCATTTGCGCGTTCAACGATCTGCCCGGATAGCACAAGGTATTACATCGACAGTGACAAAAACTGAAACCTGCACCACCGCCGCCAAGTTCGCCGAAAGTTCATCTCTGACGTAATTCTACCCCTTGAACAAGATATCACATTCGCTCAGAATGGGTGTTAAAATATACCCAAACGGTTGCGATACTCCTGCCCACGAGGTTCGAGTGCCCCAGTGATTAATTTCAGGTCAGATCTAGTCCACCGCTGCAGACAAGCCCGAGAGTGCCCGAGCCTAGCCCGAGAGTGCCCGAGATTTCTAAAAATAAAAAATGCAGTGAACTATAAATAAAGACTGAAATGGAGATTCTGGAGGTTGCATAGATCAGGATACTAAAAGTGAGAGACAAAGTGAAAATACAACTTATTTTTTTCTCCTGCTCACATACCACAACTAACAAAATTGTCGGTAGGGGAAAGGGTGGAAAATGGTGATGCTAAGATAACAATTAAGTTATCCTCACACCAAAAACGCTGGGAGCTCCATCAACAGATCGGATAGCGACTAGGAAAAATTCGGTCACTCATTTCACTACATATTTCAAAGCACTTCCACGTCTCATTTTTTTCAAAACAGGAATGTAATGGTACCCTCTCATATGCTCAAAACTGCACCACTGCTCACCGTGCCTTTTTCAGCACCGATTACAGTAGTAGTTACAATGCCCACATTTAATTGCACGATCGTGAAATTGCACGATCGCAGGTGTCGTGCAAACTGTGGGCGCTGCTGTTTGTGCTTTCATGAATCGACATAGGTTAGTCACGCCTAGGGGCTAAGGTAGTTAGGCGAGGAAGATGAGGACAGACGCGGTGGCAATATCTCATATTATGTAAGGTTGGGCCCGTTAAAGACAGCTCCCGCGATAAAAGTCTCATGGATAGCTGCTTTCCAATTATGAAACAGCAGCTGATAAGTAATCTCCCAAAGAAGAAAACAGGCAAGAAGCGTTCTCCAGAACAAAAAAATCGCTCCCTCACAGTTACACCTCCCTGCGGTCTCTGTGCAGCCCCTAGCTCACAAATCTCTCTATCACATCTCGCAGTAGTTGATATCATCCAGTGCAAAAGAAAGAATACAAAAAGAAAACAACAAAAACGCAGAGGAAAAACTCTGGGAAGGAAAAAGGAATTTTATCAACACGGTGTCTGAATTTGTGATTACGGTAGCGCACCTTTTGTGCGTCGTGGTTTTGCATCACGAAAATTGCGTCACTCGTGTTTTTACGCGTTTCACCTCGCGAAATGGGTTGAATTGAATGTATATACCTCCAATGAGTAAACTGTAATGAAGGAGAGCAGAATTATCCAGGGGCATTAGCAATGCCCGCCGCCCCAACTAAGAACAAGTGAGTGGCCTCCGTCGGAGGACATCTAGCAAGTAAAGGCGGTCCGACTGAGGAGGAGTTAGAACTAGCACTTTGAGCGGCTATAGCAGCCTCCACGCTCACAATAGAGTCGCGAAAGGTGAACAGTCTTCTAGCTTGGAGGCTAGACTACTTGCACAGCAAAGGCGACCACGAGCCACTTTGATCGCGGGGGCTGTCTTTAAAGGAGGTGGGGAAGGATTACTGTCCCGCTGAAATGGTACACATTGACACCGGTGAGGGAGCAGATGTATGGAGTGGGGTCCTACCTAATTCAGCCCACTCTCTCGACCAGGGCGTATCATCGCTGTGTAATACACAGCACTGGTCGTTCTCGATAAGTCGTATTTGACCATGGAAGAAATCGTCTGACTGCAGATGTCTCCCGTTTTACATCCTCTATAGCTCACCACTTCGCTTGAGTCGGCCGTGCGTCAAAACTTCTGGTAATCCAGTAGAGGTATTCACTACCCTGCTCAGCGGCAAAACTTTAGAAAATTTGTAAGATGGTATGAAGCTTGTGACAAGGGGTCGTACTATATGGCGAAATTCGGGGGAGAGATCGTAACTTGCAAATGTTTCACGGGAAAATTCTTTGTTGTGAAATTTTTGCACGCTCGCAGGGTACGTCGCACATGGGAATCCCCAGTGTAGTGGATCGTACTCGCCTTCTAAGAAAATGTTCTCGGTTGTTGACTTCTCTCGGTTTTTCCTATTGCAAGCGCGCTGTGATTTCTTGAACTTGATTTGAAGAGTTCAGAAGCATGGTAGGTGGATGGGGAGCGAGAGAGCCGTAGCACAAGAGGAAATCTTGAGGGGGCTGTACTTTGCAGCAAGTTTTGCCAACGCCAGGAAGTTGAATACAGGCGTTTCGAGAAAGAATGTAAAGGCACAACTATGAGAAATTTGGCAGCTTACATGCAGAAATGTCGGTAGCGTATGCCACCAAACACAGTCATCAAAAAGTTCAAGCTACAGCAAATGAATGAGATCGTTCTCAAAACTAAGAGGAACTACTGTACAATGATGAATATTTCACGATGATTCGAATGCTGATGTCAGAGCGAAGTTCAGAAATAACTGAAATCACTTCTTAAGAAGCACTCTAAAGGTGCTCTGATCTAGAAACATTCTAAGGTCTTTGACATTCGACTAATCTTTATGGTGCTTGGAACGGAGAAAAGAACAAACCACTCCGAGACAGAGTAAAAGGATTCAAAAAGAGGACAAACTTCCTCAAAACAGAGTAAAAGGATCAGTCACTCCGAGCAAGAGAATAAAATCATTTGGCAGAGGAAGAATAAAAGAGGAAAGAAGGCCGGAGGAAAAAAGGAAAACTTGACTAAGATGTAGACATACTCACCCTGGTAAGAGGCAGATTGTGTTTCTTGGGAACCAAATTCTTCACGCCTTCCATTACAAATCGTGAACTGTGACTGAGCAGCTTGTTGAACATACTGATGGTCTTTGTACCAGCACCCTGATGCTCCTCTGGTGCCGTTCTTCCCAATTGAGATATTGACCTATGATAAAACAATTTTCGCTTCATTTTCAGTAAGCAGCAGGAAAATCTTGCTATC